AACATATACTTTCTTGTCCATATGGCAACACAGTGCGTCGAATTAACTGAAATCCGGGCTTGATCCGTGTAATTGGATGTAGTTGGCAATATCTGCCGGTGGGTCTCAAAATGTTGCGATTATTTTTTTAAATTTTCAAAGTTAAGTAACTCGGTTATTTTCAATTTATTTTAAAAATGGTAAAGAGAAAATATGTTTATTTTGGCCAGATCTACCACACCTTAAAATATCTGCACTCATTTCTGGGACACCCTGTATATATAAGTGCAACATATTTTAATGCTAAAAAATGTCGACATATTCACCAAGAACGTGCATATGGATTATCATTGAAAGTATTTTTTTTTTAAATATGTACGCCATGGACTTTACTTTAGCTTCTTAGCAAAATTGAGCAGACCGTTAAATGCTGATTCAAACTTGCCTCTTGATATTTTGTCGATTTCGGCCTCCTTGGTTCATTAGCATATTTGGAAAAAGCATTTTTTTATGAATAATTTGGTACCACACATTTGCTCTTTCAATACTTGTGTCAAATTGTCGTTATGAACCGCATGTTACAATTTCAAATAAACCATATGCGAAAGTGTCAAAAATTGACATGTGGTATGTCATTCTACTCAGAGTGTCTTTTTCTATCCAATAAAGTAAAAGTATACCGAGGGTGTCATCCAAAAATCAAAAGTTGTAATCATTTCCGGTAAAACAGGAAGTGACCATAAACAATTGAACACGTCAATCAATCCTAATTTATGTCCTATACTAGCATACCAAATCTCGTTTTGATATCTAAAAAAAATTAAAAAATATAGGGGTGAGCTACGTTTCAGACTCACCCGGTATATAAAAGATTTTACTAGAGCATATTGCCAATGTTCCTAATTTAGATATACTAAGATCCCGTACTGCTCGTTAATCACTGTCTAGTCATTATCGTTAAAAATTGAATTAATAATGAACACCAGAACTTTAGATGTCTAATTTGTAATAAATTATTATTCTTTGAAGTATGGGAACTATAATTGAGTGAAATTTGTTTTGTAATGTTCAGTTATAACTTGCGTCTTTATTTCATATTCAGAACATACTATAAAAGTTTATTTACCATAACCGTAAATTTATATATATGCAAGTATTGCCATAAATGAGATTAAAATAGTATTTTTGTATGTATGTAAAAAGTTAATTTTAGGAAGAACACTGGTACGATTTTTAAAAAAGTACTGTAGCAAAACAGTAACATTAAAAATAACAATAAATAAAGATATGGGTTACATAGACACCATCGGTTTCTTGCATATATGTCTATGCCTTTCTGACGTTTTTTTTAAAGTAAGGGCATTTTACCACTGCAAGAGAAATCTAAAAAAAAGTTAATTTTTGTAAGACGTCACTGCCTCAAAACCAAAGAAAAACTAGTTTGTCGGTGGCTTTAAACATTTTATAATTTTACTTATAAAATAACAGCGCAACGAAGTTAAGCGACGTAAGGCGATGCTGGTGGATGGGCGGGTGACCGGTTCGAAACTCTGTATCGTGCTGTTGTCCAAGGGAAAAGTGTAAATCTATTGATACACACTGCTCATTCACATCGGTTCGAGGCCGGATGAGATCGGATATCTCGTGAGTTAATTTAGACACTTCCTAAGTCAGTAGGCCACTGACCACGATATGGCCGAGGACCGCGGTTCGGAATCCGCGTAAACAAAGTAAGCCCCGTCCAGATTAGCCCTGGCAGCAAAAAGGAGACGTTAACTGAAATCTTTACTTTTTTTTACTTTATAAAATGACAGCGATCTTCATTTCCAAGCTATCTCTGACACCGTTTTTTTTTCGATGCTATGGGATTATATTAAAATATAAATAAATGTCTTACTTCTTCTATGCATAGTATAATTATGTTCATAACTCTATTGTACGTGATTGTCACTTTGTTGTTAATATTTTATTTAAACTAAGCACAATGAACTTCTCAATTTTTCAGAAGTGAGATAATCCCAAAGGTGTTTTAATTATTTTTATATAATTATGTATCTTCCTAGCTCTGTACAAAAAAAACTGTAAAATCATAGTTCTACTTTGAATTTAACCATAACAGAAGTAATTATCTACGCTATATAAGACACAGATAATACTATATCAACCATAAATTTTTCGACTAAAGCAGTATTAAACTGTCATTGTAAATGATATGGGATTTATATACTATACAGGGTGTTCCTTAATTATGACATGCCAATATTTAAGTTGGTGATTCTTGGTCCTATTCTAAGAAAAAAACCTTCATATGAATGTAAGTCTTAAACATCTTAATTTCTTAGATACAGGGTAGTAACATTTTCTAGAAAAAAAAACTTTTTTTTATAATACCTCTGATTTTATTATAGATATCTCTATGCATCAAAATACCTTTTTTTATGTACAAAGAATTTTATTTATTTCAACCTGTGCCTTTCATACAGGTTTTATATTAAATATTTTTGGAGAAAAAAGTAGTACACCACTGACTTCTCTTAAAATAAAAATTATTTTCAAAATCTCCATTTATTTCTAAACATTTTTTATCTCTTGATTTTTTTCAGCCAATGCAACGCATGGTTTTTTGCTTAAAAAAATTAATCAGTTTACTTCAGGGTAAAATCGCTGAAAATCTAATAAGGTGACTGTTGTGTGGCAATCATTTTTGGACCGGCTTGTAGGAAATTGAGAAATAAAACATTTTTTTGTGTATCAAAATAAGCATTTTGATACATGGAAGACATGTAACAAATATAACATTAGATATAAAATTTTACCACTCTGTATCTGAAAAGGTAAGATGTTTAAGACATATATTCATATGAAGTTTTTTTCTTAGAATCGCCTCCTTAAATATTAGAATGTCATTAAGGAACACCCTGTATATCTATTAACAGAAATATTAATTATTATAAATAGATACAAAGACGCTGATTCCAATAACACAAAAAATACGCGAATAGATATGTAAATAGGATAATAATATCGTGCTTTCACTATGCACCATATAAATTATTTTCATAATTCTATTGTCTATGAATCACATTTTATTTTTACCAGTTTACTTTTAGCTAAACAATGCAACAATCCGTCAGACGATATGACATAATATGAAATGTGTTAAAACTAGTTTTATAATAATATTTCTTAAGTCGTATCTTGGCAACAGAAGGCAGCTTGTGAGGATTGATACGTCTATGTCTTCTTGTAAGCCTATAGAATGTGGTGTCCCTCAGGGTTCAGTACTTGGTCCTATTTTATTTCTGGTGTTTATCAACGACATTGCAAATCTAGACATTAGCGGTAAAATCTGCCTCTTTGCGGACGATACTAGTTTCACTTGGAGCGGCCCAGATGTTACGGCACTATATGATACTATATCTAGTGACTTACGCACCATTAAATCTTGGTGCGATTCTAATCTCCTATGCCTCAACCTTTCAAAAACTAAAGTTTTGTCATATAAAAGTACTATACAACCTTTTGTACTTAATAACACCACTATTGACGTCGTGGACTCTGTGAGATTCTTAGGACTTGTTGTGGACAACTCTTTAAAATGGGACTTGCACATCGAAGCCTTATCAAAGAAACTAAGCTCTGCCTGTTTTGCGCTAAGATCAGTGTCTAAGGAACTTAACTCATCAACCTCTAGAATGGTCTATTATGCCCTTTTTGAGTCGCATCTTCGTTATGCCCTTCCATTCTGGGGTACTTGCTGCGCGACAAAATTTGATCGTATTTTCAAACTTCAAAAGAGAGCAGTTCGATACTTATTGGGACTAAACAGTAGAACTCACTGCCAGAATTTCTTTAAAAATTTCAAAATACTGACTCTTCCTTCCTTATTCATTTTTGAATCCGTTTGCTTAATCCGCAAGCACATATTCTCTATTCCGGAAAGGCCTTCTCACAACTATCCACTTAGGAATGCGGAGCACGATATTTATCTGCCAACCCCGAGCTCAGAACTAGTTAAGGGCTCAATACTGTACAATGCCAAGAAAATGTACAATCATTTGCCTTCGAATATCAAGTCACTTTCATTCTTTCCCGCATTTCGCAAAGCTCTGAAATCATACTTACTGGAGAGAGCCCTATATGCGGTAAACGACTTTTTTGTTGATGTTTAATCATGAACAATTTAGAATTTTAATTTTAATATTTTGATCATCTCACACACTGGTTAAAGGTCTAGTATTTAATATTTTATAACTCTTGATTTTATGTTATTATAACTGATTTTATCCATTTACAGTTTTCCTTTTGTAAAATTTTCTAGATACGCCTGTGTTCTGCAATGTCCATATATGTTTTATTTGTAATTTTATGACGTAATTTTTTTTTGAATTGATTTGTATTGTATGACATTTTTTGTATTATTTGTATATTTGTTTTTGTGCTTTTTTTGTTTTGCTTTGTCGATGAAGCTGTTTTGGCTTTTTGTACAATAAAGCGTTGTTTTCTTTTTCTTCTTCTCCTTTTATGTATACAGGGTGTCCCAGGCTGAGCGTGCATTAGAAGTTTCTAGAGAACTACAATATCTAGATCGGAGATTTTTGCACATCATTGTTACATTTCAATTCAGATCGATCCTAAGCTTACTTACTAAATAAATTTTGTGGTTTTCTAACATTTTAAAGCAACAAAAAATATTATGTTAATTAAAATTATATAAATAACAGTCTATCAAAGAATGAAAACAAAGTTATTACCATAGAACCGCGTTTTGATTTTTAGGACATTCACCTAAAAATCCTTTTGCACTTTAGGAAGAATTCCACCATATTTTAATTTTTTTTTATTTTCTCAAAGCATTATATATTAACCATTAAGAATGCATTTTTTTTCAAAATGTCATTAATAAAATAGTGTTTCCTCTTGTAAAGACAATCCGGAGACATACTGTAGTAAAGAAATGTTTATAAATTTAAACCAAACAAAAATATTTAAATTATAAAATAAATTTCTTGTTTACGTACTTGGTATTTGAAACTTTAACATAACACCAGTCACTTTAAAACTACCACTAAACCCCTAAACAATCCAACAACGTCCTTTACGTATTCCTATTAGAAGCCGGTACATATTTGAAAGATTTTTGACGTTCCCAATTCAGAAGCAGCAACGGCAACTTGTCAAACTCCGTGTCATTTTTTGTCATCGTTCGTCTTCGACGTAAAAAAAACCGAGTTCCGAGAGCAAAGCGTCGCGATGCCGCCCCGACGCCCCACGAAATTCCACTGTGGGTTTCCGATTTCAAAACTTTGGAAACGTTGGACGTCGCGACGGTTCGCGCGGATGGACGACAGGTAAAACACGGCGCCGAGGCGGCGTTGCCAGTGAGCGTGCGCCGCAATTTACGACGAGCAAATAGAGGTGTGTGCCAAGTTTCGTCAAAGGTCTAATTATTAATGGAAATGACCCTTCGATTACTATATTAAGCTCGAGTAGCTTGATTAATTGATTGTTGAAGTAACAGAAATAAATTAAAAAATAATCACCTCAAAAACACAACAATGTAAAAAACTGTCAAGTCTCGCAACGCAGTCTTCCACTACAAAAAGTTGGGCGAGATGATATAAAACCAAATTAGTTATTTTAATAAGTCAAGAGCTTGGAACATCCTCAAAAGGAAAATTCCACTTCTCCAACTTCCAGTGGATAACGTACCAAGAATGTAAAGGGTGTGCCATTTTGATTGAAATCATACGGTATCTCCGTTATTAATGAGATAGAAGGATGCGATTTGCACAAACCTGTACCATTTTTTTTTGTCAAATGGAAGATGCTGTAAAAAACATTTTCATAAAACTCTGCGTTTCTGAGCTACAGGGTCTTTACGCGCGTTGGGGGTAAATATTAAAGGCTGTAACACAGGGCCTTAAATTTTATACCAACCTTGATTTTATGCATATTATCATCGATATGTTTGTAGTTTCGGAATAACGGTCTAGGTAAAGCATCTAGCTCACTTGCTGGACATTAGATAAAGATACGTCGGCGGTCTGTTCAACATAAAAGTTGCAAAAACGTTACAGCAATTAAAAGAAATGTTGAACACATATACCTAGGCATACGAGGCTTTGGGCCTTAAGCTGAACATCGATAAAACTAAAATCATGTGCACTTCCCTGGTAGATCACAACAATGCTATAAAAATCGGAGAAGAACTATTGGAATATGTAGCAGGATTCAATTACCTCGGCAGTTTGATTTTGGAAAAGGCCAATATCGACTCTGAAATTCTGCACAGCGTCAGCAGCGCCTCAAGAGTGTTCTGGAAATTAAGGGTTTTCTACAAGCAATAATAATCCTCAGCAATAATAATTCCCACCAACTTCCTCTTTGAAAAAAAAGACATTCCTCGATTAGTTGAAGCACTAAGAATTCCCAACGAGTTTAACACAGATAAAATAAATAATCAAAACATAAACAAAATAGAATGAGGTTAGGTTAGATCTGTATTTTTCAATGTTGTGTTTCTACTGCGCTAGTGCGCATGCGTACCGCTATGTTAACGGCTTTGGCTAACGTCCGTAAAATATCGGCAGCTAGCGGTTACGATATACGATATTCAAAATTGAAATGTTAAAGTTGTCAATTAGCGTTAACCGCAATTGCAATTTGTAAGCAACGAAAACTCCCTATTATTGGTTTGACGCAACGATAACGACAAACGGACTCCGATGCGTATGAAGCCGACTTAAGATTTTTGAGAGTTGTCAAACTCTTGCCAAATTATAGGTTATAATTTTGTGTCGAATTATGTCAAATAGAAATGATAAATATTTTGCATTTTGAACTGTGTTGTTACTTGTGTTTCGTGTTTTTTTTAAATCAAGTGTAGGAAAACTCGAGGGAAAATTAAGTGTTGACCCAGACCATAGTTTACAGTTAATATTCGGTGCCCAGAGACCACCAGAAACACAGTTTGCCAGACATTATGGCCAAAGAATTGTATTAGCCACAAATAAAGTTGTATACCATCTCGTATATGGTACCAAAAACTGGAGTATCTGTAAGATTAAAGTTAATTAACCAAGATTAGATTTTTTCAGTTTTATACAGTTTTTTTCACAATATTTTGAAGTAATCACTTGTCACTCAAAATTTAAATATATTAATTATGCGTTCCTATTGTACCAACTTATTTCTTTGTAAAATAAAATAAACTACTTTGAAATTAAAATGACAGACACATCTATCACTGTCAAGGATCTTCTCGTTGGACAAACTATATCGCAAATCTGCCTAAACTCCTTTTATAAACAGCAGACGATATCGCAAAATTTGTTGATTGGTTGTTCGTAATCAGCATTCAAGATCGCAAAATTCCCAAGTGCAAGATGTCTACCTAAAAATATAGTACTAAATATTATTTTGCAAAAAAAAAGTTACAGGAATTAACCACAGCAATTACCCAAAACAAATTAACTTAAAAAAATCAGATTATCAATCGAAACCAAAAAATGAATGAAAAAAATGAAACTTCCAGGACATTTTACTCAATGTTTAGAGTATGGCCAGCTTTACTTCAAAAATTACACTTTGTGTAGTTTCTTTGCAGGTAAAATTTTACTTTTTCTAGTATAAGAAGATTGTTCCTTCTAGATATTATTTTTTTATAGTTACAAGGACAAGTTGTTTTTAAGAACAGTTAGGTATTATAGATTTATATTAAGTTCTATGGAAAATATATTATATCTCTATTTTGTTCTAAGTAATTTACATACGTATGTAAGTTGGATGAAAATAAAATAGTGTCACTGAATCTATGTTCTGTTGATTTCTCGACACGATTTTAGGTTTTACTTTATAATCCTCTGTAATAATAGAATTTTTTATGAATTAACAGCACGTTGACGTTTTTTTTTCAAACGCCTTTCGTGGCCATCTTTTGATGCGTGTCAAATACTCGTCAGCGAGTAATGGCAGTAGTAGCTCATTTTCCAACTCAGAATTAAAATTTATAGTAATCATATCATATTTATTTCAAACCAATAATAATCAACGAGAATATTCGTATAATTTAATAAAATTACTGTAAATCACTATGAATAATGAATTGTTTCTAACTGAGCTGTAATTTCTGCATTATTAATCCGGTAAATGATAAAGATAAACAATTGTGATTGATTAAAATTTTATTTTAAGATGAAACTTGTTAACAACGTTCAAACAAGGCAAGTGACATCTGTCTAAAAAAGACAGCGATTTAGAGTGTCAATTTGGTTATGTAAAATTTAGAGTGACAATTTTTGATTATGCAAAAAAACTACATATTCTATTAGAGTTTAACATTAATTTAAACATAAATCCCCAACAGAAATAATGAACAAAACATTTAAAGAAAAACAGACCACAGATTACACAAGACAAATTGTTGGTTAGTAGCAGTTACTAGTAGTCAGAGATATAGATGTAGTAATATTTTGGTTTAATCTTTGAATAAGAAGACTAAGGAAGGAGCATAATGCTATCCATGTATTCATGCATGGTGGGCGGAAAAAGCACTCTAGGGTGGGGATCCTTGACAGTTCTGTTTGACGATTCATTTGACACATTTGAATTTGATTTGAAATTTTGTGGATTTGTCAGTCTTTACGGAGCTTATTTTATGTTATTTATTATTTATTCTACTACTGATAGTTGTATAAAGGTAGTAAATCTAGATGGAAATTGTGGCAGAACTTAAATTAACAGTGACACTATCGCGATTTATCGAAAAAGACTCTAAAATAGTTGGTTGTGTAGCGTGCGGTAGATCTCGGCAAAAATTGAGTGAAATAATGGAACAACTTTTCGCTAATAAGTGACTAAGGTACTTTACCCAATTAAGGCCAGTGCTACTATAAGGCCATACGCCCCTTAGCGACAGAAAACAAACCTAACGTAAAAATTGTAACTAACAATAATATATACCCATGCGCTCTATAACTTTAGTCTATGGGTGATTTCAAAAAATCGCCAACAGATGGAGTTACAGTACATCGTGGTTTGTAGCCGTTTTCGTTAACGGGATTCTTGTATATGTTGTTTGTGATTTTTTATTAAAATTGTTTTTTATAACTTTTCTTTTTATATAAGGAGTTACCAAGGTAAGTTAGCTTAATGGAAGTAATTTGGGTTTTTTGTTATTTTCAACTTTAAAGGAGTTACGAGGGTTTGTTGTTTTAAGGTTATGCGTTCCTAATAAAGCCACCTGAGTGGCCTTGTTAGGAACTATGTGGCCTTATTAGGTTCTTACCTATTTTTTTCTCTATTCTCAGAACATACCACCCACACAAAGAGCAAAATGGTCCGAGCAGCAGTTGAGGAGAGCTCTTGCGAGTATAAATCAGGGAATGCCTGTCCTGACAGCGGCTAAGCGCTATGATATTCCGAGACGAACCCTTCGAAACCATGTCACAACTGGAAGTTTCGTTAAGAAATTGGGGAGATCCTCAATACTAACCGTAGAACAAGAAAATGAGTTGTGTCAACGTATTATAAGGTTAGGCAATATCGGAGTACCTTTGACAAACAAAATCATTCGAAAGTCGGTGTATACATTTGCAAACACTAGAAATATTAGACACTGTTTTAATCGAGAAAAGGAAATGGCTGGCAGAAGATGGATAAAATTATTTTTTGCCAGGCACCCAGAAATCACCGAGCGTAAAGCTCAGCTTCTTAATCCCGCTAGGGCCCAAAAAATGAACAAAACCATTGTAAATGACTATTTTACTAAACTAAAACAGATAATGACTGAAAAAAACTTTATTGACAAGCCGCACTTGATATTTAACATGGATGAAAAGGGTTGCAGATTGACCCTACACCATCAGCAAAAGGTCCTTGCCAGAAAAGGTGAAAGGAGGGTTCACATAATTGCAACGGAGCATGCCGAAAACGTGACTGTGGTCGCTTGTGGCAGCGCAGTTGGTCAAGCCATACCCCCAATGGTCTTATTTAAAGGAAAAAGGTGCAAGGACGAATGGAAAGAAAATATGGCTCCTGGGACTGTTATTGAAATGACACCTAAGGGGAGCATGACCACAAGTGTTTTTTGTAAGTGGCTACAGCACTTCGCTAAATTTAAGCCCGAAGGAGACGTTTTGCTGATAATGGATGGAGCAGCCTCTCACCTGGATATTTCTGTTTTTGAAACCGCAGATGCATTGGGAATAACTCTTTTGTGTCTGCCTAGCAACACCACACACGAGTTACAACCACTTG